CTCTTTGATCTTCATCAGTAAATGTATCAAGTCCTCTTCACTTTCAGCAAGCAAGGTTGTTATCATCTGCATATCACAGGTTATTAATGAGTCTTCCTCCAATCCTGACACCACGGTTTTCTGGTTTTCTTCATAGAACCCAGCTTCTTGGATTATTTGCTCAGCAAACAGGTTGAATAAGTATGGTCAAAGAACACAACCCTGTCACACACCTTTCTCAATTTTAAATCATTCAGCGTTCCCACATTGTTTGAACAACTGCCTCTTGGTCCAGGTACAGATTCCTCATGAGCACAATTAAGTGTGCATCAACATGCAAGCCTTGAACCCAGGTCTCTCACATGGAAGGTGAGAATTCCACCACTGAGCCACCTTAGACTCCCATGATTTACGCCTTTAAAATCCTACATAGGTTTGCTATGTACTGGAATCAACTCAAAAGGCAGTGAATTTGGCTTTTTGGGTACTCTATGCCAAGGATCCCTGGTGGTGCAGGAAGTTTAACGTTAGCTTTCTAGCCAGAAGGTTGGCAGTTTAACGCTCCAGCCTTTGGAGACTTTACTGGTGTTACCAGTCTGGAATTCTTAACCATTATCTATTTGAAGATTGTCTTGTCCGGTTCTCCTGATTCTAGAATGCCACATTAGTGTATGTTACATTGTCTCACCTTAGCCTCCCTAACCTTTCAGGGTTTCTGAGTTTTGCTTCAGCTACACGGTGGATAAATTCTCTGACCTTATTTCCAGTTCTATAAATCTCTCTAAAGCGCTGTCTAATCTGCTTAACCCAGCTGCCTGAGTTTTCCTTTCACATCTGCTAGGCCACATTTGGGGGTTTGGGGTATATACAGGCATTTCTGGAGTCCCGGTACAGTGCTGTAGGATAAGCACTGGACCACAAAGTTGGGTTAAACTGCAAGGTCAATGGTTCAAACTCACCAGCTGCTCTTCAGAAACCCTCTCCGGGGTTGCTGTGAGTCAGACCCACTTGACAACGCTGACACTTAACAACAGGCATTTCTGGTTTTTCCCAAAGGAAGTAAAACAACAAAAAAAACTTAATGACTATTGTTCTATAACTAATGAGTGAAATTTCAACACCTGAAGCCACTGTGGGTCCAATTTTGCTCTCTTGTTTCTGCTAGTTCTTGCTCATATTGCTTTATTTCCATTTATTCTTGGTTGTTCCGTGGGAGAAAGATGAGGCTTTCTGCTCCCGTAAAGATTTACAGCCTTGGAAACCCTGTACAGGGTCGCTATGAGTCGGAGCCCACTCCACAGCACATAACAACAACAACAACAATCTGACTGTGTGTTACTTATTCACTGTGTGAAAAATTATTTGTTGTGATTCTACAAGACAGTGTCCTTCACCAGAGGTTGGTTTTTTACCCTTTTCCCTAGCAGGTCCTGACATCACACAGGTGATGCAAATCCGGTTAGCCACAAAAATGTAAGTCACATTTTTAAAAATCTCTTTGGTGTTGTGCTCCCCTGGACATTTCAAACATTTCTGCAGCTTTCTGGATTGTCCTTACCTGTGTTTGTAGTTCTCAGTGAAGATTCCCCACATTGAGTAGGCTTTGGCCTTGTCCTCTTTCTGCCTGTTTGCCCTCCTATGGTTGCCAATGAGAAATGCAAGTTTGTTACCATCACAAATTCCCTCAGAGCAACAATGGCTTCAGTGCCTGGTGCACCTTTTTCCTTAAATTACTGGTTTGGTTTGCTTATTGTTGTGTGCCATCAAATCCATTCCAATTCATAGCAACCCTATATAGGCTTATCCTATAGTGCCACATCTTACTAGCTGATGCTTTCAAAGAAACTTTGTATTTGTTAGTTTCAACAGGAGGGGTGGTAATCCAGCCCACCAGAAACTGAATTCCCACAAAACCATACCAAGATTCAAATTCAGGTCTGAGTCTAGAACCTAAGCACTAGAATCTATGGACTCTCTGGGTCTTATTAGTTTTCTGCCTTGACCATTTTTCTATAACTTGTTTCTGTGGAAAATATTTCCAGTTTCCTTCTCTGATTGATACATTTCGGTCTTACACAGTTCCAGCTTTTGCAAGTTTTACTGTATATATGGGAGTTCTGGTGTGGCGCTGTAGGATAAGCTTTGGGCCACAAGATTGGTTGGACCACAGTATCAACGGTTCAAACTCAACAGCCGCTTCTCAGAAACCCTACACAGGGTTGCTATGAGCTGAAACCAACTCAACGGCACTTAACAACAGCTATATACCCTAGTGTCTCTGGAAACCTGGACTCCCTGATAAGAAAATCAGGCTGCTAGCTGTCTCTTAATATCTATTCTTTTCTCATCTACTTCAATTTAAAAGATGTCTTAAGTCTCCTTTTATATTTAGTAAAAACAATAATCTATTTTTTTTTAAATTATTATTAAATGTTTTTATTTTGGATTGAGTGAAATAATCTATTTTAAAACCTGAATTACAGGAACCTTTGATAAGAGTTTCACGCTGGGCACATCACACTCATATGAATAAGTTCTGGCCAATGAGATGCACGCAGAGGTGCAGTGTTGTACCTTTCCTGGAGGAAGGGACTTCTCTCTTGTACCTACCTTCATTCTACAGCGAAACAGTGCTGGTTTACGTCTAGCAGTCATTTTCGACCATGAGGACAAGGACCACTACACCAAAGGATGATGGGACAGTGAGCAGGCATCTAGGTTTCTGAAAACTCTGGAGAGCGCCACAGCTGCCTGATACTGGATGATTTCAAGAGAAAGAAAAGTTTCTGTCTCCTTTAAGCTACTACCATTTTTAGATTTTTCTAATCCAAACTGATACAGGTGAGAAGCATCCACAAAAATTTCAGGCTAAGCATTCTCTCTCAACTCCCCATCCTGCCACCCACAAGCCCGTGATGCCCTTCGCCGCTCCCAAGCCTCCTCCCCCTCAACAACACACAAACCAGTCTGGGCCCAGCCTTATAAATATTGATTTTATAGAAAGGACCAATTCAAAATCGGTCAAATGCCACGCGTTAGAAGCTTCCGGAATCACGATGAAAAAACAAACACAAAAGCCCCCAAAATACCCCAGACTGAATTGCCTGAAAATCAAGGTCCCAGCTGACCCAAGGGTTCTAAAGAAACACTTGTGGCTGGGGAAGGAGAGGGGGTTTGAAGACACCCCAACACCTGAACAAATACCCAGAGTGAAAAAGGAAAAAACAACCCAGAACTTCAAACCCACGGTCCCTGCCCACTGGCCCTCCCCACACTGTCAAGAGCGAGGCAAAGGGCTTCACAGCTTTTTTTTTTTTTTTTTTTTAATTCGGGAGGTAGGGGCAATGGTGATAGCTTAAACAGTGGGAGAAGGGGGTTTTTATACTTCACCTTGTTTCCCGATTCCTCTCTAGGGTAAGTGGAGAATGGGAGCTTGAGGTCAAGGGGAAAACATCTAGAAATAGCAGGCTGCAGCTGCAATGGCCAGGTTAGATTTGTAATCTGCCAGTTTCCAGGACCCAAGAGTTCTGGTGTGACTAGTCAGGAGAGGGGGAAACCTGATGGAGAAAAAGGCTCCCAAGACAAAGTACTGGGGAAGGGACCGGGAGGGGGCCAGAATAGGGGAACCCTTAAGTGATACTAAAATTAGCTGCCGTCTGCTCCCTGATGGTGGGTCCCTGGGGGGTAGAGGATAGGTGCTGAGGCTGAATGGAGAAGAAACTTGAGATGCTGATAAAAAAAAACAAAAAAAAACCAAAAAAAACACCCTCTTTGAGGGTCCATGGCCCTGGGTCTGAGGGGTAAGAAAGCAGTAGGGGTCAGGCAATCTGAGTTCTTTCTGGGGTCACCCCTTGGACCCCATTCTCAGCTCTGGAAAGGGAACTGACACTCCCTGCTCTGGGGGTCCGGAGGCAGGTGATAGTTCTGGCCACAGCTCCCAGGGGGAGGGGGCGGGAGCAGGCATGGTCGGCTCTACCCCCCCCCACCCTGGCTTCACCTGCCCTCCTCTCGGCCGGCCCGACCCCCGCCCGGCCCGTTACAGGGCAGCACCCAGTTGTTGTCATGCAGGCCCAGGCGGCAGCCGGGCGTCTCGCGGTCAGTCCGGCGACAGCACATCCAGTAGGAACGTCCGTAAGGCAGGTCGTGGTGGTAGGGCTTGGGGTGCCAGCGGCACAGCGACACGTCGCCCTTCTCGTACCTCTTGCGGCACTGCTTGCACGGGTCATCGCGGTAGAGGGGGTCTCGGCTCCAGCGCGAGTCAGTGGCCCGCACACCAAATGCCTCAATGATGCCCTTGAAGTGGTGACAGGTGCACTTGAGGGCCGCCAGGGCCCTGGTGGGCAGGAAGCTGAAGATCTTGACCAGCACGTGCTCAGGCAGCAGCAGCATGTACTGTCGAGGCTCTAGCAGCCGCTGGATCTTGAAGCGGATCTCCAGGAAGTCGTGAGACACATGCCGGTAGAGGCGGCACAGCGAGGTGTCTGCCGACCCGTCAGCATCATCGGGGCCGGGCATGGTGGCTGGCGTGTCAGTGATGGGTGGCTCAGGGGGCCCATCTGGGCCCCGGGATTGGAGGAAAAAGAGTTGGCCAGGAGGGGGAGGCTCTTCAGGGCTGACCGTCAGACACACAGTCTCCTCCTTCACGTTCTTGGTGCCATCCTTACCGAAGAAGGTGCACTCGTCCACCACGCCTGTCACCACCACGTCCACGTGGAAGCCAGAGGCCCCGCAGTCCCGGGCAGGGGGCGGAGGGGGTGCTGGGGGAGTGTCCTCGGGCCTGGCAGGGGCTGGGGTCTCGCCCTCACTGGCTTCATCAGCCCGAGCCAGCAAGAACTCCACGTTACTGGGAAGGGCATCCCTTGAGGGGCTGATGAGCTGGTACAGGTCGCAGGTGATCTTGTCTTTGGCCCGGGCTCCAGGTCCTGGGCTACCAGGGTAGGCACAGCCCGCCCGGCCCCCGCCCCCATTGGGCAAGCTGCCATCTGGTGCCCGGAGTTCACGGCCGTTGGAGATACGGAAGGCGATGCGCACCTCCCCAGGGCCCGGGCCAGGCCGCTCCTCTTTGTGAAGACCCTTAGCTGGAGGGCTGTCCCGCTGTGCCTCAAAGTGGGCCACTGCCTCAGCCACGCGGCTGCAGTCCCCACTGCCCCCCGCACTGCTGCCGGCCCGCCGTTCAGACCCCAGCCCCTTGGCCGGGCCACCCTGCTCAGCTGACACAAAGACCACAGGTGCCGGGGGACCCGGACGTGGATAGCCCTGCAAAGCCAGGGCAGCTCGCTGTTCCACCAGGGCCACCATCTCAGCCACAGAGAGCAGGTCCATGTCCTCGGTGCCCAAGCCTGCAGTTCCCTCAGTAGCAGGGAGCCCCTCCTGGCCTCCAGGGTCTGGTGGGGCTTTGGTGGGCTCCAGGCAGCGCCTCCGCCGCTTGGCCTTGGAACTGTCACTACCCCAGTGCCCCTTGACCTTCATGGAGCTGGCCCGGCTGCTGCCTCCACACTGGTGAGCCACAAAGAAAGCCACCTTCTCCTTTGTGTTCCCAGGCTTGATCACGTACCACGTGTCCAGCAGGACTCGGCCCTCATCGCCAGCCGCGGCCGCTGAGAGCAACGGAGAGGCAGGCTGGGGAGCTGGAGGTGCCTCGGGGGACAAGGTGGGTGGTGTGTTCTCTGAGTGGATAGGCCCGTGGTCCGGCTCTGCCCCGCTGCCCTGCTCGGTGCAGGTAGCCGGCTTGAGAGATGTGGCTGGTGGTCGAGGCTGGTTCTGGGAGTAGGTGCCAAAAGGCCGGGGGCACCATAGCTGGAAGGGCAGGAGGCTACTGCGGTCCATTGTGAGGGGTGGAGGAGTAGTTCACACAGGCAAGTGGTTCACCATATCCCAGGAGCTAGAGGGAGGCAGGGGGGCTCCACCGGCCACCTGTAGGCAGAGAAGAAGACATTGGGGACTGTCGCTAGAAGTGGCCTCAGCCTCTCCTGATGGGAGACTTCTAATCCTGCCCCGTCCCCCACACTTCCACAGGTGAGCTGAAGGAGAGCCACAAGGGCCACAAACCCAGGATCCATGCTGGCTTTCGTCCCAATCCCACCGCTCAACTGCCTTCTCCCACAACGGAGAGGCCACCTGGTACCAGAAATTTGCCGTGCTAGTAACAGGACCATGGGGCACACACCTCCTGCTCTGTTTGCTCTTGCTCTGGGCTCACTCAGTCGCCTGTTCCTGAAAAGGCAGGAATTCCCAGCCCTGCCCACAGCTCTAGCTGCTCGGGCCCACGGAGGGAGGAGCAGGGTGGGACAAGGGTGGGACCGGCAGAGGGAGAAAATCCAAGAAAGCCGAGCAGGCAGGCCCTAAAGAAACAGTCTTCACTTTTTCCAGGGTGTAGGGCTGCTTTCAAACATCTCTTCAGTGCTAGGTAGCCTCGCCCAGACAGATGCCCACAAAGTACCCAGGGGACCTAAATGTCCTGGGGCCCAGAGATCCCTGAGATAATAAGACCTGTTCTCTTCCAGTCCCCTACAAGTTACACACAAGTAAACTGAGGCTCAGAGTAGGGAAGGGTTACATCGCTAAGGTGGGCACAGGAGTAAAAAACCAAGTCTTCCAACTTGCTCTGTGAACTAGTCCATTCAGGGGTCTCTTAGTAATTATGTTAATTTCCACACACTTTAAGAGCATGAGCTAATTTGGAGTCTGCTTGGCCAGGCATCAGGTAGGGTCCCTTTCCCTCAGTGGTCATCCTTCCCTGCAACCCAACTCCCACCAGACATCTCAAATCTAATGTACCCTCAAACCATGAACCTTCTACATGCCTGTAGACCAGGGATTAGCAAACTCCGGCCCATATGCCACATCCACCCCATTGCCTTCTTTGTAAATAAAGTTTTATTGAAACAACTTATTCATTTATGGCTGCTTTTGTTGCTCTAAAGGTCGAGTGGAGCAGGTGTGGCAGGAACTGGATGGCCTGCAAACCCTAAAACAGTCACTAGTGGTGCCTTTACAGAAGGTTGCCAAGCAAGTCCTGCTAAATTCAGGCAAGTTCACAGACAATACCAAAACCCTGTTAGCTCATGATCTTGTACACACCATTCAATATCAACACAGGCCTCCCAATCCCCACAGATATCAGTAACATAATGTCCTGATCCAAGGAATTCTTTCTTACCCTACCCCAAAATCCCTAACCCCACCTATCTCTCAAATATTCAGTCCTTGCTGAAACAACCATTCATTGCTACGCACACACCATGAAACCTATAGATGACAAATTTTACCAACCACCACTTCAGATCCACCCAACTGTCGAAGGATAGAATCAAAAGCCATTCTTAATAAATACTCTCTAAAAAATTGCCTACTCTCTGATCTTTACCCCATCAGTTCCTACCCTCATTTCCAGAATCCAAACCCCTAAATATTCAGACCCTTTCAAATCCTACTTTAAACCCCCAAACCTAAAAAATATCCCCTGGAGTAAGCAACTCCTAATCTCAATGTTGTCATAGTTACCTACAGTTGAGTTGGGTCCAACTCTAAGTAATCCTGTCTAGGGTTTCCAAAGGGTGGCTGGTGGGTTTGAATCAGCGACCTTGTGGTCCAGTGCTTAAACCATGACCCTTGCAAATCCAATGCTTACCAAGACAACCCCACACACAACAATCCCCCAACTTCAGAGATGCCCCAAAACACTAGTGTCCTCAAATTCTCTCCTCACCCCAAACTCTAATCCCCTAATTTCAGACACCCGCATACCACAAAAGAACCCATTAAAATACAAAAAACCCCTAAAACATATAAGACTAACTCCAAACCATGTAGAAATTTCTCAAAGTCAAAAGAAATCCCCAGAGAAAACTCACAACTGTTACCATCACAAACTAGGGCTGTCCTAGAAATTCCTGCCACACCTGCCCTGATCCTGAGCTGGACACGATCCTGGATGAGGCACAGAAAAGGCTAAATGACTTCTCTCCAGCTCACAGGTAACAGGTAGAAACAACTCCAGACAGACGCAAACCCCTGTCTTTGGCTCCAAATTGGTCTCTCCGTGAGCTCCCCAAATCCTACACCACCACCACCAAAGCAATCCAACCACAAAGGAAACACGGGACCTTCCAAAATCACAAAAGGACCCAAGTCCAAACCCCAAGGCGACCCCAAGACATCCCCTTAAGCTCAAAGGAGCCCCAAAGTATCCCTTACGCCCACGCAAACACTTCCCCAAACCGAAAAGTAGCCTTTCAATTCAAAGGAAACCTCTGATTCCTGTAACCACCCACCCCCACACCGCGGAATAAACCAAACCCCTATAGAGACCCCAGAAACCTAGACACGCCCCCGCAGCACCCTCACTCGAGAGCCCCCCCAATCGGTGGGAGGGGGCAGACGGCACACACACGCATGCGTGCCAAAAGACCATGAGACTCCGCCCCCTCTCCCCCACCCTCGGGCCCACAGACTAGTTTCTCTCTCCCCCCCACCTTTGTTGACAGACACGCGCGTGACGCCCTCAGCCAATGAGCGGCCGCAGATCGGGGTCGTGCCCATATAAGGAAGGCCTTGGCGACAGGGCTCAACTTAGAGAGAGGGAGGAGTAAAGGAAAGGTGATGGGGTGGGGAAATAGGGAGCGAGTGGAAACAAGCGGAAGTAAGGGAGTGTAGAACAATTCCCAACATCCTGTTACACGAAGGAACAAGACCAGGGCAGAGGCCAAGACATTCAAGGGTGGCTCATTAGACTACGCTCCCTCGAACCTAGGGCCCTGATTGACAGTTGGGATTTAAAGGGCCAGGCAGCTCTAGGACTGAAAACTCCAAGACGGATGACAATTGGTATACAGATTTGAGAGTGCCCAGCTTTGGTTGAGAACCCGGGAGGCAGACGTTTCCCGCAGAGGAAACTGAGTACCAGGATCACCTCACTTAGAAAAACAAAAACAACTTCATAATGGCAGCAACCTCTCAGTACTAGCATCCTAAACCTGACTTAGAGACTTAGAAACGGTTCAATAATGGTTTCAAAATTATGACGGCAGGTTAAAATGTTTAGGGTTTAGCTAGCTGGAATTGCAAAAATTAATTTCATCCGTTTCTAGTTACCTTTATAATGTGGTGATTCAGAGTATTTGAGGACCGCTGGTAGCACAGTGGTTAAGCGCTCGGCTGCAAACCAAAAGGTCTGCGGGAGAAAAATGTGGCAGTCTACACAGATTACAGCCTTGTTAACCTTATTGTACGGTTTTACTCTGTCTACAAGTTTGCCATGTGCTATGACAAACTGAAATAGACCCCACTGCAATGGGTCCATGAGAGTATTTAGGAGACTTTGGGTGGCAAAAGGTTAAGTGCAGGGCTACTTATTAACTGAAAGATAAGACAATTCAAACCCACCCAGAGGATCCTGGGAAGTAAGATCTGGAGATCTGCTTCCTAATGTCACAGCTTTGGGAACCCCATGGTTTCTACTCCTTTCATGTGGGAATAGGCTCATGGCTGGCAAACAATAACAATGCCAAGACAATTTAAAGTCGCATATATGGTTGTTGTTAAGTGCCGTGGAGTCGGTTCTGACCCATAGCGACCCTGTACAGGGTTTCCGAGGCTGTAAATCTTTACGGGAGCAGAAAGCCTCATCTTTCTCGCGTGGAGTGACTGGTAGTTTCAAACTGCTGACCCTAAGGTTCACAGCCTGATTCGTAACCACTATGCTACAAGTTATTAGGTACTTAAAGTCAGCTCTGACTCATAGAGACCCCATGCACAACGGGATGAAACACTGCTTGGTCCTGTACCATCTTTACAACTGTTATGTTTGAGCCCCTTGGTGCAGCCACTGTGTCAGTCCATTTTGTTGGGGGTCTTCTTTTTCACTGACCTTCCACTTTACCAAGTATGATATCCTTTTCCAGGGACTGGTCCCTCCTGACAACATATCCAAAGTACATAAGATGAAGTCTTACCATACTTGCTTCCAAGGAGCATTCTGGCTGTACTTTTTCCAAGACTGGTTTGTTTGTTCTTCTAACAGTCCATGGTACTTCAGTATTCTTCGCCAATACCACAATTTAAGTGCATCAATTCTCCAGTCTTCTCTATTCATTGTCCAGTTTTAACATGCATCTGAAGCACCTGAAAATACCATAGCTTGCGTCAGGTATACCTCAGTTCTCAAAGTAGCATATTTACTTTTTAACACTTTAAAGAAGTCTTTTGCAGCAGGTTTGCCAATTCCGTACGGTGTTTGAATTCTTGGCTGCTGTTTTCATGAGCATGATCCAAGTAAAATGAAATCCCCGATGTCAATCTTATCATGATGTGGTTCACTGGCCCAGCTGAGAAAACTTTTGTTTTTCTTTACATTGAGTTGTAATCCATACTGAAGGCTGTATTAATTGCTGTAATTTATAAGCAAGTGCCTCAAGCCCTCTTTGCTTTCAGCAAGCAAGATTGTGTCATCTGCATATCGAAGGTTGTTCATGAGGTTTCTTCCCATCCTTATGTCAATTTCTTCTTTATACAACCCAGCTTCTAGATTATTTGCTCATCATACAGATTGCGTAACTATGGTGAAAGCATACAACCCTGAGGCACACCTTTCCTGATTTTAAACCACACAGCATCTCCTTGTTATAGTCAAATGGTTGCCTTTTGGTCCATGTGCAGGTCTATAAAAGCACAATGAGCTGTTCTGGGATTCCCATTCTTTGCAATGGTATCCATAGTTTGTTATGATCCACACAGTTGAATGGCTTTGCACGGTCAATAAACACAAGTAACCATCTTTCTGGTATATTATGCTTTTAGCCAACATCCATCTGACGTCAGCAACGAGA